GTGTGGAGACCCCGGTACCCTACGAGGATTAGGACAGTATTCTCGATCACCTTGGACTTTGTGAAGGAGATGGTCGTAATATCTGCGAGTATAGTCATTGAAGGGAATGAAAGGCGGATGATCAGTAAGATTCAAGGATGAGAAATTGCTGGGTATGCACAATAAGGTGCGTTGATCAGCGCTTGATCCATCATTATAATAAACAGGTTCAAGTACACCAAATTGCCAGCCTGGTGTAGTAACTCGCGGAGGGAACTCACCGACATCTTTGACAAGTACAGCAGACAACATGTGTGCACCCTCTACCGGTGGAATCTGAAGGTCTTGGAGTTTATCAAATTCGAAGTTCTTAGTTGAATCATGATTGCGAATTTCTTTCATTCGAATTTCAATTCGTGAGTTGATATAATCGGTAACTTTTGAGCTAGTGGTAACATACGCATGATAGTCTGGTGACTCCATCACAATTTGCTGTAATGAGTCATTGAAGCTTGCTTTCCAGGCTTCTGTTGTATCCGGTAGATCCTCCAAACTCCTCGGAAAATGCATGTCGTTTGGTTTACTTGCCTTCTGAAACTCATTATTAGCCTTAGAATAGCTAAACTCCTTACTGGTGATGATACCCTTGGAAAAATGTCTGGATTGTTCCGAACTAAGTACACCAGTGTACCAGCTAGAGTTGCCCATAGTTGGGTCAGTTAGTTGCTGCTGCTTCAGCATGGCGTCTGCTGTAGCATCGGCATTAAGAAGTTCCTGGAATTCCAATTGCTTTTTGCTGATATTTGTATTTTGACGCAAGATACTAGTCATGGTTCTCACAGCATTGCCAATTAAAGTTATGCCATCTGTATTCCTGCGTTCCTCTGGTGACTGCTGTCTGAGAGTATCGATTTCAGCTTGCATTCTGGTAATTTCATCCTGATGTTCTTGTCTTTCTGCCTCTCGCTCAGCTGCTGCAAGAGCTTCTGCATCCCGACGAGTTGCTTCTTGACGAGCTGCTTCTTGCTGAGCCAGCTCTTCTTCTGTTGGCTCGGGTTGGTCTTGGGGTGGTTCATCTCCTTCGGGTTCACCACCTTCGGGTTCTTGCGGTCGAGGAGCCCTTGCGGCACGCGCGGGGTTACGTCTACCCCCTTGATCTGCATCCCCCATATTTCTGTTACGAGAAGAGATCCTTAAAGTGTTAGCCTGTTAAGCGAATTTTCCGAAGTTCCGCTGTAATTAGCTAATCTACCATGTAACGAAGGTAAAGAGTCTTGGGTCAGGATTAACGCTGTGGGCCCATAACCCTTGAGGGGAAATGGCAGTGTTCCTGACTTAGACTGAAAATGGAAAAGTGAGATGGGGCTGCTGAGCAGCCCTGATTCCCAACAGGAGAGGGTTACTCTATACTGTCTTAAAGTGGAAAAGAAAGAGAGAAAGGGAAGGAAATTGGGAAAAAGGAGGAAGGACCCCCATACTAAAGTGGGGACCTCAGTCTCATGAAGATATGAGACTGCAAGGTAGGGAGAAAAGGGAGAATAAGCACAGTGGGGCAGATACAGGAGAATCTTCCTCCTGAGGGGAGCGGGTGACACCGGGTGACACGGATACGCGGGAACATTAAATTGCTCCCTTATGAAAATTTGCTGCTAAAGTTTTTCATTCTCGAGCGGGAATCATGCTAGTGATAATGGAATTTTATGTTATTACTCATCTATGTCATGCACAAGAACCATCAATGGTGCCGACGCGGCCTTCCGCAAATGCATCACCGGTGAATCTCGCGACGCCGTCTTTTTATCCCTCTTTAAGTTATCCCCCCTCGAATGCACCATCGTGCTACAATCTGACAATGCATGGCGACGCAGATAAAGGCTGGATGGGCCTGTTGTTTGAGATCAGAGATAGGTGGGATCGTAGACTCTTAAGTTTTGCTAATTATCAAGACTCTGGCACTGCTGAGACCCGTCTTCTCAAAGTGGTCGAATTCTGTCTAGATGATGGCTGTTACAGATTTCAGTGCTGTAGTGGAACAGCCTGGGCAGATGCTACCTATGTGAAGTACTCTATACAAGATTACTCTGGATCAATTTTCAATGGTAGCTATGGCAATCGAAATAGCGTGTATTCAATGCGCGGCAACCTGCATGAGGGTGTTTGTTCGGATGCTCCTACAATATTGCCCTCTCCAGAGCCAACTCCCATCACAAATTTTCCTAGTTCAGAACCATCACCGAATCCGACTACAAGCCATGGTCCTAGTCTATTTCCATCCTACACTAAAGAACCAACTCTCGTTCCGACGTTATCCTCAGCACCAACAACACCACCTTCACCCGTTCCTTCATTTTGCCCCTCGACTACTGCTCCCACTATCAGTCCCCCGCCATCACACGAACCGAGCTCAAACAAACCGACATCAACATGTGATGATGGGGAGATAAAGGACTCCTTGGAGTTCTATGTGGTTTGCAGTCTGGCACAGACCTCTACTGAATGTTGCGAGATTTTAACTTCAATGGACGATACAACATGTCACACTTCATTGTCACCGCATGGCCCTTTTGGATCATATTGCAACAAAAGATGCGGGACTTGTGCGGAGTATGAAGCCTTTCTCGCGAGCTTTCCCGTGATTCCCTTCCGTAGGGAAGATTCCCAATCAGAATACAAAAGGGACGACACGGCGATAGCAGAAAGTCATTACAAGTCTCGTTTACTCACTGGATTTGTTGTTGTAGTATGTATTGTTATATATATATCCAGCTCTATACACAACTATGCTGTGGTGTTCCAGGATCAGTAGACATTCGCACGAAAAGCCATTCAAGGTACCTTAAAGAATGATAACAATAGCCAAAGCTTCACGCACGCAATGTCTGTGCGTCCCGGGGGGGAAGCCATGGCTCAGCAAGATGCAGGAAAATACGCCGAAACAGACAAAAAGGTACTGACAAGCCAAGTTGCCCGGCACGTCCAAGATCTTTCATTAGGGAATCGGGAAATGCTGCATCAACTTTCAAACATTTAATATCAACATTATCAATATTGATGAGTTGAGTGTGTTACCCACACTTAAATCCAACACAAACAACCCAAGATTTTTGGGTTAAATGTCTAGAGAGATAGTATCTGGCATGAGTAGACAATGCCGCTCCCTTACCCTCGGGCGCCTGAGGTCATAACTTCAGGCTCTTATCCAGGGGGGTTCGTGGGGTACCTCGGCGAGCCGAGCCAGGCCGCCCCTAGGTAGCCGTCGCGGCGGAGGTTGGTCGTGAGTTCCCCCCGGCGAGGCACAGGAGAGGCATGTGAGGAGCTGCTCCCGGAGCGCCTCGCTGGAAATCGCCTCCTGGGACCCCGCGCCGTGCGCCATGGCTTCGCCACGTGATACGCAGTCGGGCGCACCAGGTGCGCAAAATTCTCGCGGCCCATGGGCGACGTTCGGGGCGCGCGACGACGCGCGGCGCGGACCCCACCTCGTGCGCTTCGTAGGCAGTGTTCCGGCCGTCGACACTGCCGGCGAGGGGCGGGCCCGCGGCGACCATGTCATGGGCGGCCCCGATCCCGCTCCAGGCGCGTCGGCGCGCCCCGGTGACGGCGAGGGAGCCGCGACCGACACCGCGGAAACGCTTCTGCCTCCGCTCCCGGACCCGCGCGCGCGGCAGGAGCCGGATTTTCGCCTCGTTTTGACGCCCCAGACCCTCCTCGCGGACTCGTCCCCGCGCCTGCCGCCGAGCCGACGCGCGGCGATCCGCCGGTCCGCGCGCGGCCGCCGCCGGCGCCCGCGCTCCGCGACGTGCCGCGAGGCCTCGCGGACGCGCTGAAGCCGCACCAGCGCGAGGGCGTCGAGTTCGTGCTCGCGCGGCGCGCGGCGATCCTCGGCGACGCGCCGGGCATGGGCAAGACGGCGCAGGCGCCGCGGCGACGCGGGTCCTGGTCGTCGCGCCGGCCACCGTCGTGCCCGTCTGGCTCGCCGAGTTCCGCAAGTTCCTCGGCACCGAGGCCCCGGCCATCGTCACCGCCGACGGCGACTCCCGCGCGCTGTCCGTCGCGGAGGTCCTGCGGCGGCTGGCGACGACGTCGGCGCCGCTCGTCGCGGTCATCAGCTACGAGGCCATGGTGCGGCACGCGAAGGCCTTCACGGCCATGCTCGACCTCCTCGTCTTCGACGAGGCGAGGAGGTCTTCGACGAGGCCCACAGGCTCAAGAACCCCGGCACGAAGCAGTCCACCGTCGCGTCCAGCCTTCGGCGCCGCCGCCTGCTCCTGCTCACGGCGACGCCAATGAGCAACGACCTCTCCGAGCTCCACACGCTCCTCCTGCTCCTGGACCCGGCGACTCTGCCCTACGTTCTCCTCGCGCGCATCGACCAAGGTCGCGTCGTCGGCGCGAGCCCAGGCCGCGCGTTCGTCGCGGAGCGCGCGTGGTCGTGGCTCCAGAACACGCTCGGCGGCCTGCACCTGCGGCGAGAGACGCAAGCGCTCGCGCTGCCGCCGCAGACGACGCACATTGTCGTCGTCGAGCTCACGCCGGCGGAGAAGCAGCTCTACGACCACGTCTGCGAACGCGCCGCGGCGCGGGGCGGGGCGGCGACGGCGAAGGCCCTCGTGCTCGTCGGCGCGCTCCAGAAGCTCTGCGTGCACGCGTCGCTGCTGAACTCGGGCGCGGAGAAGCTGTCGGCGGACCGCGTCTTCCGGCCCTGGCCCGAGAGGCCCGACCGCGTGCTCGAGCTCAGCGGCAAGCTGCAGGCCGCGGCCGTGATTTTGACCCACATTTTGACCAGGACTCGCGGCAAGGTCGTGGTCGCGTCGTCGTTCAAGATGCCGCTGGTCATCATCGCGAACTGGATCCGGTCGCGAACCAGCGTCCGCGTCGCGGGGGTCGCCGCACGCGCGACCGGCCCGCCCCGCCGCAGGTCCCGTTGGTCGGCGCCGCGCTTCTGCGTCTGGCACACGGGCGAGCAGTCGGCCGCGACGCGCTCGGCAAACCGGCGGTCCCTGAACGAGCTCGACGCGCGGTGCATGCTCGCGACGGTCCAAAACCTCGAGGGCGTTACGCTCATCGGCGCGAACTTCATGATGTTGCTGAACCCCTCGTGGAACCCGGCGCAGGACGAGCAGGCCGCCATGCGCATCCACCGCATCGGCCAGTCGCGGGCGTGCACGGTCATCCGCCTCGTGGGCCGGGGCACGATCGAGGAGACGATCGTCGGGCGCCAGGCCGAGAAGGACGGCCTCTGCGCGATCCTCACCCAGGGCGGCTTCCCGCCGCCCACGAGCCCGGACCGAACCGAGATCTTCTCGCGGAGCGAGTCCCCGTCGCGCCTCCACGACCGCGGCGGCGGCGACTTCGACGAGCTCGGCGAAGATTCCGACGACGATCTGGCCGCCGCCGACGCGAGCGCCGGCCCGCGCGCGCCCGTGCCCGAGCACCACGACCCGAGCCGCTGGAGCGCGCGCGCCGCCTCCGAGATCCCCCGCGAGGGCCGCGCCTCGTGGCTCGGCGACCTCCTCGACGCGAAGCTCCGAATCCGCGAGACGCTCGCGCTCTCCGGCGCGGCCGCGGAAGGCTCCGACGGCGACGACGACGACGACGACGCGATGGTGTCGGAGGACGCGCCGCTCGTCACGACGGCGGCGAACACGCCGCTCGTGTCCTTCGTCTTCACGTCCATGGAGCAGCTGTCGGCGCCCGCTTCGAGCGCGGCCGCCGCCGCGCCCGCGCCCGCGCCCGCGCCCCCGGCGCCGGCGGCCCCGGCGCCGGACGCGTCGCTCTCGGCGCCGGACGCGGCGCTCCCGGCGCGCGACGCGGCGCTCCCGGCGCGCGACGCCACGCCGGCGGTGGCGGCCACGGCTTCCGCGCCGTCCGCCGCGGTCGCCGACGACGACAGCGACGACGAGGACCTCCTGGGCGGGCCGCGGCGGCCGCGGCGGCCGCGCCGCGCCGCGCCGCGCCGCGACGAGCTCCTCGACGAGCTCATGGCCGCGGACGCCGGCTCCACGCCGCCGCCGCCGTGCACGCTCGCCGCGGTCCACGCAGAGCCGACGGTCGACCTGCGAGGGCCGGAGTTCCTGGCTCGGGCGCGCCGCGAAGCCGACGCCGCCCGCCCCGTGCTCGTGGAGGACGAGGACGGCGCCGTGGCCGAGCTCGAGGGCGCCACCGAGGGCGTCGAAGACCACTTCGCGCGCGCCGAGCGCGCGGTGCTCGCGCTGCTCCACGACGACCCCGCGTTCCGCGACGCCGGCCCCGCGGACCGCGACAAGGCCGACCTCGTCGTGGGCCTCCTCTTCCAGCCGTCCATCGAGAGCGAGTTGGACGTGCGCAGGCGCGCCGCCGACTTCCAGGACCTCCACCACGACCTGCGCGCCGCCATCCGGCTCGCGGTCCGGGAGGCCTCCGCGCGGACGACCGCGGACGACGAGCGCGACGTCCTCGGGGATGGCGCGCAGACGCTCGAGCACCTAGCGGTCATGACCTAGGGCGTAAGTCCGCACCTGGCAGTCGTGGGGCATGTCCTTGGAAAGGCTAGTTATAAATTCCATCGGTCCGTTCTGGTCTAACGGCGACACAAAATTCCGGTTGCACCACATGCCGCACAATTGCCCGCAGGACGTTTTGCGCCTCAGGCGGCCCACACGGCCGCTTCGGATCCGCCGCCGCCGCGCGATCAAAGCGGTGGGTTCCGAACCAGTCCTGGTACCCCCCTTCGCTGAAAGCCAAAGCGACACTGTAATGCAGCCCCTCGATCGACCCCGTCCGCAGGACCGAATTTAAAGTCACCCCTTTCTTGGACGCCGGACCCGCGCGCACGCCGCTCGGCGGCACCTTGCCAAAATTAGACCTGTGCGCCAGCTCCTCCATCCCGTCCTCCGCGCCCTTTCGAAGGGTGACCAGTGTATTGCCAAAGGTTCCTTTTGCGACCACGTCGCAAGGCCCCGTGGACCGCGCTACCCGCTGCAGAGCTCGGCCAAAGTCGTCCTCCGGCGGCTTGCCCAGCACTGCTTTCGCTGCCGTCATAGTGCGACCCGCGTCCTCCAGCCCGGCGCACAGCGCCTTGGCCTTCGGAGACAGAGACCCGCCCAACAGCTCTTCCATCACCTTGAGCCCTAAAGACCCAGGCTGACGCGAGCCTGGATCCTCGATTCTTTGCTTCTTGGCCTTCCTTGTAGCCACCTCCTTCAGAGCTGCCCCCAGCCGCAGCACGTGCCCTCGCAGTACGCTCTCGGTATCATCGAAGAGACCGAAAACCGGGGGTGCCAAAGCAACGCCCTCGCCACCTTCGAGGGCCTGTTCCACAGCTGCCACCAGCGTCAGAACGTCCTGCTCCAAGAATTCCTTAGCCACGCTTTGAGCTAGGAGCAGAAAGGGCGGCCAACACTTGTCCACATGCTCCGCTGCGCATCCAAAGACTTTGCTCACGAAACCGCCCTCGCTGAACCCGAAACCCGGAGGTACCGTTTCGCTGGTATACCGAGCAGGCGCCCGGGCTACCGGAGCGTCCCGCGTCGCTATCCGCGGCACCGAGGGCGCGCTGCCCGGTAGTGAGCCTCGCCAACTCGTATAATCCCGCTCATACTCGGCCACCGTGAGGAAGTGCTGCCCGTGCATCATATTTGATACGAGACCGCGCTCCCCACTAAGGCCCAGCGGCGCCACTGGATAGCTGTCATCCACGTTGCGCCGCCCGGTAACCACCCCTTCAATAAACCTCTCGTCTGTCGCCTTAATCCGCACTTCGACGCCCACGTTCACGCCCGGTGACGCGGCAACCCGCGCCACAAAAGTGCTCGTGGCCGCTGGCTCGGCGGTCTCCGCGCGAGCCTCTGCCGGGGCTTCCGCCCCCCCTTCCTCTGCTGCCGCACCTGGTGCCGGGGCTGGGGCCGCCCCGCCCGCACCAGCGCCGGCCGACAAAGAATAAGACCCTCTTGGCGGCGGCCTAGGCGCCGGATTACTCCCTGACATATGCCCCACTCCCCCCCAAAAGAAGATTTTCCTGGGGTGCGCTCAGGCGCACAATAATAGAAGAGGATGTCAGCGACAGACGATAACTCGTACTCGAGTACGAGATATATCTTCTGTCTCTCTCCTCTGTATCCTGAATATCCTGGCTGATATAGAGAGATAGAGAATTTTATATCTCCCTAGTGGTTCGCTGGTACAGAGCCACCAAATATCCCTTCCCTTCCTAATACTTTCCAACCCTGTTATAGCTGCTTCTCGCACTGTGATAGACGGAGAGTCTTCCTGGACCTAGTGAGGCAGATCCTCTGCCCGTTCGTCCAGTAGCCCCGGCCCCCGTATGTATTTATTATATACGGCAGCTGCGGTGACGTGAGGATAACAGAGACGCCGGTGTACCGCCACTGCGTAACCTCGATAGTTCACCCTCGCACGGCAGGGCAGCCCCACTAGGCTGCCTCCCTAGAGGACGGCGACGTCCGTGCGGTGCATGGGCCCCGGGAGGAAAAAGAAAAAAAAGAAAAGGAAATCGGCGGCGACCCGAGCGCGTCGAACCGTGCTCTCTCTCCTCTCTTTCTCTCCTCAACGGTCTCTTCTCCGTTGTTTTGATAATTCGTAACAGCATCTCGAACCGGGAAAAATACCTTTTCAATTTCTCCAAGTTCGCACAGCTTGCTAGCGGTACAGCATCGGCGGCAACGTCGTGTGACACGCTGTCCACGACGGCGCGCAAACGCTGATACACGTCATCTGAGCTCTCGCCGCCGCGCCGCGTACGCGTCGACGACGGGCTGCCCGTGGCAGCCATCTGCGAGCCGCTGTGGATATAATTAATCAGCCAATAAAAAACTTGTAGAAAACCAAGGAAATTTCTTTTATCTTTTTTCGATTTTATTTTGCGCCGCTAACGGCTCGCCCGCGCGCTCCGCCACGGCTCCGCCACGCGCGCGCGAACGGCTCGCTCGCGCGCCGCGGCTTCAACTTCAAAGCTTGCACTCAACGTTGAGTGCAAGACTTCAACTCAAACCTTGCACTTCACGGAACGTTCCGGGAACGTTCATTTAACATATCCCGCCGGCGGGATATGTTAGCGGAGCAGATGATGGCGCCGCAGCTGTCGCACGGCTCGTCGGTGGGAGCCAGGATCTTCGAGCAGCAGCCGCAGTGGACGGCGTCGTCTTCGTCCCCGGGGTCGTCGTCGTCGTCGCAGGCGTCGGGTTCCCGCGCGCGCGCGCGAGGCCTGCGCCGGGGACGAGGTCTCGAAGGAGACGTGCCCCTCGAGGAACCCCGAGTTCCCCCAGGGCTGCGACCGCTTCACGGCCCCCCGGCTACGGCCCCGCGGCCCCGAAGTAGCCCGACGAGCGCACGCCCGAACGAGGCCCGCGGCACACCCCGGGTCCCCCGTGCCCCGGACTGCCCCGACCCAGCGTTTCGCCCGCTCGAACGAGCCCCCTTCCCTCGGCCTCTCCGCCCAGTTTCGCGGGGTGGAGACAGGTGGAACACTCTCAAAGCGCCCGCCGGACGGGTTCTCGACGACAAGCGACGTCGGGCCCGGATGCGCCCGGCGCCCGGCGCCGCCCGCCCCAGCGGGTCGCTCGCTCGAACGAACCCCTTTCCCTCGGCCTCTGCGCCCAGTTTCGCGGGGTGGAAGCAGGTGGAAACTGTCGAGCGAACCGGATTCTCTCCCTCGAAGACGACGTCGTCGATTTCGCCACGACGTTCGACGAGATCGCGCGAACGCGGACGCTGCGTGGCTTGCCTTGCAAGGTGGGTGTGGGGGCGTCATTTCCAGCGCCTCCGGGAGCTCCGCGGCCCGCAACAGAGGCCGCGTCGAAGAGCGTCTGTCCGCCGCGCCCAAGAGGCTCCGGCTCTGAGGAGGCTCCCCCAGTAAAATCGTCTCCGTAGAAACGACCCGTAGTGACGCGTTCTAAGACAAGTCCGACGCGTCGGATGGGTTCCCATCCGACGTCCAAACCGACCACTCGATGATCGCGTTCCGCGCGGCGGCCGCGCGTCGCTCCGCGGCCGCGTAGAAACGGAAACATCCCGCGAAGTATCAGGCGGTCTCCTGCGAAGTATCAGGCAGTCTCCGCAAAGTATCAGGCAGTCTCCCGCAAAGTATCAGGCAGTCTCCCGCGAAGTATCAGGCAGTCTCCCGCGAAGTATCAGGCAGTCTCCCGCGAAGTCCGCGTGGCCGGAGCCAGGACTAACCCTCGCACCGGAGCAGCTTCTGACATACATTTCGGCCCACTGCGGCAGCCATTCAGATGCTCATAACTCAGCTCAAACCTCATCGATTCGCGAGATTTTTGGATTTGCGGAATCGTGAGAAGCAGGGCTTTGCAGCCATACGCTCGGGGCCATTCGTTGAAGAAACCTTGACAGCGCCTGGAGTCGACTCTATGCATTGCCGAACAGCGTCGCTAGATTGGTCTTCGGCGCCTCTGGGGCTGCCATCTGGGGTAGCGGTGGCGCCTCTGGGGCCGCCGGTCGCGCCGCGTCAGGGCGCGCCGCGCCGCGCTGCCCGAGGGCTGCGGTGTGCTAGCCGCCGCGGCCTCGCCGGCGCGCGACGCGCGGTCGCGGCCTCGGGGCGGGGTGTCCCGGGAGGCTCAGAGTCCGACGAACTGCAGGTAGCCCCGTTACACGGGGGGCAGTGTTAGCACGGTGGAACAACCCATAGTAGGTGGCACACAGGGTGTTACCCTAGTGGGGCTAGCCTTCGGACAGCGATTCAACGCTAAATGACCCAATGGATCGGCTAACGCTCCCTTCGCGAATATAGGCGCCCGAGAGAACGATACTCCGTATAGAACATTCCCTTCATGATCCTGCTGGCAACCATCTTCGCAGCTTGCGCGATGGCACGGGGCCAAGATTTTGATTTGAGTTTGCATACTTTTTGGACGCAGTTGGACGACAATCGGTACGTGTCGACCGCTAAATCGTCGCATCGCTAACTCCCAGGTCTGGCGGTGTTGACAAGCTGGAATTGACGAGATTCGTGGCAATCACCGCTGTTGCAAGTGAGTTTCCTCTACCCACATCTGATGACGAGGACGGTGGAAACAAGTTGCTACGAACGTTGATTGATACTACATTTTCAAATTACGACAAGGACATGACAGGTGAAATTGAGCTCGATGAATTGGACGATGCCTTAGTCACTGACATACTTGGCAAGTATTTGGAGGGGACGGGCTCCAGCATCTCATCTTTGATGTAGCGGATTCTAAGATACTACCGAAAATAATGGCAACCCCTAGCTCCTCTCGCGTCCGCCATAACTGGCATGAATGGGCGGTTAGGGGCAGGAGTTTGAGGACTCCATTGAATTTCTCCGGCTTTTGGTCAGCGATGTAGAGGCTTGGAATTCGTGCCGTGAAACCGCTCCTTTTGGAGGAAGAATACGGAAACAAAAAAAAGGACCAGCCCCCCGCCCCGGGGGCGCGTCCCGCCGAGACCAAAATTGCATTCACGGCAGTACAATATGTTTCCGGTAACGAGTTAGTGAGTTTAGACCTCCTATCATCATCCAGCTAAATAAAAATGCTGGCTGCGGTGGTCCTCTCCGCTTCCTTCGGCTCAAATGAAGCACCCGCCCTACCCTACCCGCCTCCGTCCCAGCTACCAAGCCTCCCCCTTGCGGGAGGAGTTTACTGCTTCCTTTAGCTCAGGCTAGTGGGTACGAAAGGCAAAGTGGACGGAAACGAATAATTATTCCCTGACTCCTCCGCCTCCCGTCTTCGCTGCCCGGATTTCGACTCCTAGAAGAACCCATTTGGTCTATACAAGCATGCATCTGCGGATTGTCTCTCAAAATACTTCCCTCCGCGCAATCGCTCTGTACCGTCCGGATTGGACTCCCGCGTAATGACGACCGGCTCCACCGACACCGATATTTGCGGGGAGGTATTGTTCCTGGCAAATTCCTCTTTCTTTTTTAAAACTAAACCCTAGATGTTCGCCTCAAATCCTGGACCTGTTAGAGAGATTAGTGAGTTGAATAATGCCCTTTGTCCGGCGAGCCTCAAGCCCTACCTTCGGTACTGCCTTGCGTCTGGATTTGGCTCTGGTATGCTTGCTCCTCCACTTTTGAGCTACATCATCGCTAACGTATGCAATAACAACCCTGGAAGACTTGCGACTTTTGTCTCATTGGCATATATGTATCATACACTTCCGCGTATCTGCCTCGTGCAGTTTCACGGAGAAGTTGTTGATAGATTGCCTCGAGTCCCGTGCATCGTTATTAGCCAACTGGTTGAAATTCTTCTCTGGATTGTAATTTGCTGGAGTAAAGATATGCATTTGATCCTGGCACTGTATGGGGTTCGAGCAATCTTGAATTTGCACGATTTTGCTAAAACTCTTTACTTGTTTGATCTCACCCTGCACTTGGATTCGACACATCGTGATCCCAATTCTAACAATGCAGGAGCAGAATTGTTGAGCAAGACTGCTTGCTCTGAAGCTGGACTTCGTCACATCCAAGTCGGCGGCGTGTTCACCGGTGTGTACACTGGCGCTGGTTCTGTTGTTGGGCACATCGTCGGCAGCTTGGTTCTTTCTAGCGAGGCTCTCTCAATCCGTCATGCAATATATATCGCGCTATCGGTCTTGTTTGTTTCTCAGTTTCTCGTAGTACTTCTACCTGAGTCTAAACCCCACAACACCAATTTGCCTCCCCTTGTGATTCTGTCAGCTGCCATTCGTGGGGCACGAGGCGAAGTGTGGTTTGGATTTCGCGACCAGCTAGCAAGATGGCGGACCGGTGAGAAGTTGCTTGTTGATCTGACTATCTTTTTTTTGTTGTTTTCATGGGGTATGACTATTTACTTCTTCACTATTTTCAATGTATTTCAATACAAGTTTGATCCAAACGCCAAGCTACGTGCTGAATTTGGCCTTGTTTTGATTGCTCCTACAAGCATTGGGACCTACTTGTGGTGGAGACATTTTAGACATGGGAACAAGACTGAAATATATGTGATGCCGTACTATCAAGCTCTTCTTTCCCTGATCTGCCTTGGGGGCGCTTTTTCAAGCACTCTCTGGGGTTTTCTACTAATAAGCATTCTTTGCTGTCTTGTTCTTCCAGGTGCGACAATACCACTTGGCGCCATGTGGACGAGCCAAGCTCCAATAGACAAACAGGGTCGACTTTCTGCCATTTCTGTGATACTCTATGTTACTTTAGTTGGCATACCCTGTGTGTCATTTTCTTTTGTGATCGCCGTCAGTGTCCAAGTTTTTATCATAAAGAGTGCCTGCTACACATAGTTGCACGCATAGGTTTCTTTCATGTTGTTAACAGGTCGTTGGTGTGCGCTGAAACGCCACCATCGCGGCTCTTCTGGTGCCCGCAATGACCAGAGGACCGCTGTTCCCCTTGTTGTGGGTAGCCTGCTAATCCTATGCGCCGCGAACAAGATGAAAGACATTGCGCGACACGTGCAGAATCACAAATCTGATCCGCAGCTAACAGAAACGGAAAAAGCAGCTGCGGTGCTCTAAAGGGGCAGTTTAAGTGGGAGCGAGAGCGTACTTAAGAAGGAAGTCTCCCATAAGAATACACCAAAGGCAACGAAATCGCAATTTACTGTCTGATATGCTTGCTCAGCCACTCTTCCTGCTCCTGTTCGTGTCGCTGCACCGCGGCGTTGTAGGCCGCTTTTACCTCCTTCTGATGATCCTCGTCATGCTCACCGGAGGAGGACGACGAGGAGGAGGACGGCGCCGCGCCGTTGGCCGCGTCGCCGGCCGCGGGAACGAAGAACTCGTCGTCGTCGTCGCTGTCGCTGCTCTGGTCGTCGAGGGCGTCCTGGTGGCGGCGCCAGCGCTCCCACCCCTCGAACGCCCAGCGCACGTGCCAGCGGTGGCGCTTCCGGCGGAACGAGACCATGGATGATGCGGTGTAAGACGGACCCCACCGGCGCACGATGTCCCATCCGCGGAGGTTCAGTGTTCAGGTTTTCAAATGCTCACGCGCGCGGGTTTGTCGACCATATCGCCTTCAAGACGACGGTCCGGAAGTCCAAAACAAGGGCGCTTGGCCAAGGGGTAAACAAAGTTGTGACTAGTTATTGAAGGGGAAGCGCGCTCGACGGGTCACTGCGTCCGGTTCAAGAGGCATGCACAAAATACGATAACTAATGTCATGTTGATCTGCGATGGGTGCTCTGAGAATGGGGTTAGGTAGTGGTAGTGGTAGTGGGGGTAGTGCCCCTGGAGCCGCGGGAGACCACTCGATTCCACCGGAAATGTGCTTGTTTTGGCTCTATCGGCCAGTTTGGATCTCGAACTCGAGCAAACTGGTGATTTTGACGCTCGATCATAAATTTCGACCGAGTGGAGGTCGTGGCCGAGCAGCCCTCCAGCTGCCGATTGGCCAGGGCGGGTGGTTCACAGGCTTCGTTGACCCTATGTTGCAGCAGCTGTTTTGACCACTCATTTTGAGCAGGTCGCGACTCAGGGGTAGTTAGTTGGTACTACATGCTGTCTGAGGGTAGTCTACCGCCTACCTCTTGGTCCGGTTGTTGAGTACGAGGGTTGAGGTAGGCTGTAATTACACGATGAGGAATCCGCGCCAAGGGCAGCCGCTCCGATGACGGCGCGGAGCCTCGTCCTCCTCGCGACCTGGGCGCGCGCCGAGTGGTGCGCCGTCCAGATCGCCAACGTCTTCGGGGACGCGCCGCTCAGCGTCGAGTGGCGCCTCGACGCGGCGCCGGACGTCGGGCGGCGGCGGCGGCGGTCGTCGACGAGCTGCCCGCGTCTGCATGGCCGGCCGCCGTGGAGGCGGCCGTCCGGTCCACGATGGCGGCGCACCGCGCCAACGGCTGCGCCGGGTCGCCGGCGCCGCGGTGCGTCTTCGACGCCGTGGCCGATCGCTGCGGCGGCGTCGCGGAGAATCTCGCGGCCGCGGCGCCCTACGCGGCGACGAATCTCACGGAGACCCTCGCCCTGGCCTGCGCGAACTGCGACGTCCGGCGGCGGCGGCGTCGGCTGCGCCGACGCCGCCGTCGCCGCGGCGCCCCGGGGCGCCCACGCGGAGGCCCAGCTCGCGGTCGCCGTCGACCGCTTCGGCGCCGCCCTGCGCGGCTTCGACGCGGTCGTCTGCGCGCGCACGGACGTCCTGTGGGCCGACCCGTCCTTCCGGCTCGCGTCCCTGGCGCCGTCGCGCGACGGCGTGCACGCGCGCTACGACCTGTACCACTACGCGCGCGGCGCGACCTTCGAACGCGTCTTTGCGACGGCCCGGGCCTTTGCGGACCGCGGCGCCGCGCGCGGCGGCGGCGGCGGCTTCCTGCCCTTCGACGCCGCGGCGGCCCGAGCGTCGGACCTCTCGACGGTGCGCTGGTGGTGGCTGTCGCTGCCGCGCGCGGCGTTCGACGCCTACCCGGCGACGCTCGCGGAGCTCAAGGCCGCGCTCGGTGCCCGCGGTGGCGCCGTCGACACCGCGCCCCTCGGCGCGCCCGTCGTCGAGGGCTGCGATATCTCCGTCCGACCGGGCACGACGGGCTTCGACCACAACGAGGCCTGGCTCGTCCACCTCGTCCTCGCGGCGAAGGCGCCCCTCTGCGCGGCGGCGGGCGCCGACATCTCCCGCCTCGCCTTCAACCGCCACGCGTTCGCCTTCGGCGCGGGGGACGATGGCGTCCTGGAGGTCGCGCCGACGTAACTGATGTCCGTCTGGGCCTCGAGGTCGGCCGCGCCCACTTGCCCTTGCTAACATATCCCGCCGGCGGGATATGTTAAACGCCGCTATCCGACGCACCTCGTTGGTGCCTTCGCCTGATCGAGGGCAGCGGCGACACTCCTCTGGTCATGGTGCGCGCGTCTATCGCGCGGTGCGTGCTTGCCGACCTAAATCCGTCGACGCCCAGCGCCTCGAGCGGGCCGCGCAGGAGGTCTGAAGCTTAAGGTCACCTCGTCGGTTTCGGTGCCAGCGCAGCTGCCTCTTTGTCGTCGACCCGTCATTGTCCTAAATCTGGACGCGTCCGTCGCCGAGCGCGTGTCCGTGTCGATCGCTCCGAGATCGCGTCGATCGATCTGCATGCCTCTGAAGTAAAGAAATAAATAAATCAAATAAATCAAACTATATATATGGGGGCCAATAATCTACGAGATACATGCAACTAGGAACCGAGAACAAATCAAGAGCAACCAATATCGCAGGGGGAAATAAGAATGACACAGTACGGTGTATTTGGCAGTGTGATGCTCCGTCGGGTCCAACAGCAAATCGAAGAGGCGGCCCGCGCCGCAGTCTGGGGCCAGGTGTGGTCCATCGATTTCGCGTTGGGAAAGTGCGGGCCCGTCCAGCCGTCCATCCCCAGGCCGGGCGCGCCCGCGTTTCCAAGCAGCAGCTTGTACCGCGCCGTCACTAGCGCGCGCGGCCCCGGCTTTCCGCTCGACGTCGCATTCGCACCGCTCACCATCAGCCACATGTCCAGCGAGTCGATCGAGGGCAGCCCGCTCGCCGCGCCCCGCGTCTATAGAAACGGAGTTGAAGACAATATTGACAGACACTCCGTTGAGTGGTGTCAATGACACCACTCCTGAAGCACATTCTGTAATAAGAGAGGCACACGTTTGAGCAGCAAGTTCATCCAATTCGTGAGTATGAACGCCAGAATACATTTCACCACAAATCTTCTGAGTAAGTGAAATCCAATCTACTTTCAACGGTTTCTTTTTAGAATCGCCATTAATCAATTGTTTAAATCGCTTCGCTATCTTGTCAAAAGAAACAGTTTCACGGGAATTATCGCGCTTAATTACATGCATGACATCCATTTTAAATAAGTATATAGATTTATGTTTAATATGTTCATACGCAAATCATTTTTATTTTATAAAAAAAAAACTTGTGTTGGCTTTGTCGGTTGGATCGAGTCCGGCGAGCCCCGCGCCAAAGGTTGCGTACCAGTCCGCCGTGTGCAACAGTCCGGCGCAGCGCGTGCCGCGCTGCGCCGCGGGCAGCGCACCCCCGCTCACGAAGCCAGCCACGCGCACGCCGCCCTCCCAGCAGCTGGCCTCGCCGCCGCGAAGCGGCCAGTTGTTCGCGGCGCCGCCAAAGTCGAGGCACGTCGAGCGGTAGGGTTCCCGCCCCGCCGGTCCCGTAGGGATGCATCCCCGGCCGCATGGCGCTCGGGCAGCCGCCGGTCGCTCGAAAGTTCGCGGCGTAGATTGGGCCGCCGTTGTCCGACTAGAAGACGAACAGCGTGCGCTCCCACATCCCGCGGTGACGTTCGCCACCGCGGCGTCGAGCGCGTTGGTCATGGCCGCGTAGCCCAGACCGGGCAGCGACAGCGTGGCGCTCTCGTTGAGGAACGCGTCGAGCACATGTTGCTCCACCTGCATCGGCGTGTGCGACAGGTGCGACGCGTAATACAAAAACAGCCGCGCGTCGTCGCCGTCGGCCGCGGCCGCGGCGAAGTCGCCGATGATGGCGGTGGCCTCGGCCTTGAAGAGCTTCTCCTCGTACGCGCCCGCCCACGCGTTGCCAGCCCTGTCATGTTGGTGCCGATCCCCGCGCCCTCGCCGCTCGCGGCACTCCAGACGTCGGGGTCGTCGTTGCGAGTGTTGAATGGGCAGCCGGCCCGAGAGGAACGAGCTGCGCGTCGGGCTGCAGAACACGAAACTGCGACGCACGTCGCTTGTGCAGGCAAAAGAACAGAGGGAGAAGGCTTCTCTGGGTAGTGGCCTTGAAGTGAGCTCGCAGGGGCAGCTGCGAGAGTTACGTGGACTGACCTACTGGCGTTAGCGCCAGGGAGGGAGGATCTCAGTACTTTGGGATAGGAAAGGAGAAAGAAAGGAGGAGAGCCTCCTCAGTGGGGAAGGTCAGTCAGGGTAGCGGTAGGTCCAGTAGGCTGAGCCTATGGTCCTGTAAAGGGCTCTGACCACGGTCGACCCCCCCCAGAAGTACGAAACAATTGCTAACGATACCGGGTGGTCCCGGGGGCGGTCACGACGCGTCCGCCCCAGTCCGGGGACGTCCGCGAGGGACGGCGTCGGCCAGGGGCTCGGATGGGACGGCGT